GCCATTTGGGCAAGATACTGCTCTTGTCTGGACTGTTTGACTTCATGATGTATAAACTGGACATGCAGGACCCACAGAAAAGTGACTGCTGATGCAAGATGGACAATGCTATAGGGTTCATGGAAGAGTCTGCCAGACATTCTGCAGGACACAGAGAAAAGTAACTGACAAACTGCCAATGCAAGAAGACAGTTTAAACTTTCGTGCTTTGCTGAGGTGTCTGACAGACACACTATAGCCTCTGGGCTGAAGATGGAAGATTACAAAAGAACTTTGGGTGACTAACCAGGCAAGTTGTCTCTGTCATTTCTAGAGTTTATATACTATCCTTCTGTGGTCTTTGAGGGAGTTGAAGACAAATAGTTATGGTTATAGTTTTCCTTAGTTAGGATTAAAGATAAGTTACATATAAGACTTTAGACTCACAAAGATAAGATAGATGATAAAATAGTTTCTTTAAGTCTTACTAAATGTTAATGGACTAAATATTAACTGTGATTCTTATTTGATAACTGTTATATGATATATTTTGCTATGCTAAGGTTAAAACCCTTTTTTGATTTTAGACAGAAAAGATGAGATGATGGGAGATGTCATTTTGTAAATATGTTTCTCATACTGGTTATTGAATAAAGCAATATTGGCCAATAGGAAAGCAAGATAGGTAGGACTAGGAGACTAGGAGGATTCAAGAAAGTGGTAGGGAGGAGTCAGCATGCAGAGACGGGAGAGAATGAACTCCTGTCCTACTCTCCAGTAAGATGAGACCATGTGAAAATACTTAGATTAATAGGAATGGGTTAATAATTAAGACAGAGCTAACCAATAAGAAACTAGTACCTGGCCAACAGCATTATATCAAATAGAGTTTCTGTATGTTATTTGGGGCTGGTGTGGTGGTGATATCAGACCAGAGGGAAAAACCTACTCATAACACTTCAGATCATATCTGAGGTCTCTTGTATGCCTCTTATAGCTACATAATGGAATGTCTGACCACTATGGACTATTTAAACATATCTTGGGTGTTTCAGGAGCAAATTCTGTACTTAACACATTTGTGTGTGTCAATGAAGTCTGAAGTACCTAGCTCACCAAAATGAGACATCACTTCAGGAGCCAGTAAGATATGCATCCAGGTACTTTGGGGTTAATCTGATGAATTTATGAAACAGTAGGTTCCAGGTCTGAAGGCAAGCTCCAAATCAACACCACATTTTGCCGGCATAACCCAGTTTTACCGACACCTTACCCTGACATTCCTCGTTTTGTTGTTTGAAGCTTCTGAAGCTGTCAGAACCCTTGGGCGATCGTCAACAAGCCAGGAGAGTCAGGCTTTGGCTCCCAGACTGTGTCTTTGCTGCTTGGCAAAGGAGACAGACCTCAGGCAACTGGCACGCCTGCTGCATGATTTCCTGAACCAATCTACTACAGAAGCCCAGCTGTTCCTCGACCCTTCACCCCAGCAGCTGGTCCATCTACAGTTTCCACAGTCTCTTGGGTGGAAGATGATGCCAAATAGCCAGCCTGGGCCTCAGGCCAACTTACAGAGCCTGTGTTGGTGTCTACTGAAGTTAGAGATCCTCACAGTTCAGTCAGTGCCATTGCACTGCACAGTTTTCTCCTTTTCTATCTTTGCATGTCTCTGTTATCTTCCATGACCTAGTACTGCTGGATGCACAACTCAACAAACTACAGAGGAGAGGCAAGCACCAGGCCTGTTTCCCAACAGTTCACAAGTCTCAAAGGCAATCTTGTTTAAGTCCATGGTCAACAACTAAATGGAAAGGAGAGTGGTGCATACCTCTTCAAGCCTCTGATGACTTTTTGTTTTGTTCAGGCGGTGCTTTATTTCCTCACCCAACTCGTCATTGTGGATTAGAGGAAGCCAGTACACAGAGTCATCTCTCTTTGCATTTTACAATTTATTTTCCATTCAAAGAAGACACTCAACAGAGGCTGTCCAACAGCGCCCCTTACCAGCAGGAAGTAGTTTGGAAAGAACAACGCCCAAATTCCCAAATATTGTGTATAAATGTTTGTTTTCATTTAATTGGACTGTTATATAAAATTAAATAAAATTAAAAAAAAAAAAGAAAGAACCATGCAGGGCCCTGTCAGCCCATCACCCTCATTTATGAGATGTCCATGCACTTCCAGCTTGACCATTCTAAAAGAAGTGTCACATCTCTCTGATAGAGAGAGCAGCTGCTTGTAGCTTCCCAGGGCAGCCCGGTGGGCAAGACCACTTGTTATGCTGCCCTGTGCCACATAGTTCACCTCCCTGAATGCCCACCAGACAGGCTGCTCTGAGCTGCACACACATGAGTTGGAGCTCCATGAATCTGGAAGAGCTGGGGAATCCCTACCATAGCTGTGTGGCCTCCCTGGTCTTTTCCAAGGGAACACACTTTTGGGATGGAAAAAAAAAAAAGAACTGACTTAGAATTTGATTTGACAGATTCTATCCCGACTATTTCTGTCTGGGAACTAATTGGATGATTTGGGGCCTAATTTGTCCCTGTGAGATAATTTCCCTCTCCAAACACCCCCTCTTCTAGTATTAACTGTAAAGAGGAGTGCATGTGAAGGCATATTCAAAGCTCATAATACAACAATTAATAGAGTTCAAGGTTCCCCGAAGTGCTGTCCTCCAAAGGTCAGTCACTCCCATAAGTTCATATGTTGAACACCAAGCCCCAAGGTGGTCCTAGGCCAAAGGCTCAGGCCTCTGGCAGGTGACTAGGTCATAAGGGCCCTTCTCTCACAAACAGGGTCAGTGCCTCTGGCAAACAACTTGACAGAGACTATTCCTGCTGTCACTGCACATTCTCAGAGGAAGAACCAGCACTTGAAACCACTAGGTGCCTTCAACTTTGATTTTCCTTCCCTCACTATTGGGAGCAATAATTTTCTATTGTTTATAAATTATCCAGCCCATGGTATTTGGTTATGGCAGCAAAGCAGAGTAAGATAGCCAATTTGGACGGATGATAAACCCATCAGGAGGAAAGATCAACCTCATCACTTAATTTCTCAGTTTTCCCTGCTAGGACCGTGTCCTGATTGCCAAGTCTGGGAGTTTCTCTCTTAACAGCCCATGGCTCTCCCAGTGTTCCTGCTGAGTAGCTAGATGGATGTTCTCTCGTACTTGTCTGATTTTGCTGAGTCTAAGTCTCAGAAGTACACTTAACCTTCTATAAATCTCAAAAAATCTCTGAGATGGAAGAAAGCAAATCCTTTGGTGCAGAAACGCTGAGTATTCAATATGGCTATTATTATTCTATATGCATTCTTAAGAAAACCATAATTGTACTATAAAATGTCTTTTAGTTCTGGGCTTTCTTTCACTATTTCAGTTGTCACATAATCCCCTGGGAATGACAGTAGCTCCTTGATATATGACCACGAGGTAAGATTTCTGGTGTTTCCTACTCTGATCATAATTAAAATTAGATCATAAATATCAGTACCAATTACTGGCCTCATTAGCCTCTGTTTTCTTCCAAGAACAAACTTCCTTTTGCAGTAAACACAAGCTGTTTATGTCCAAGTATCTGATAACTACTGTGCTTTGTGACACAAGCATACTCTCAATAAACACACTCATGGCACAGGGTACAATTACTCAGACTAAGCCCATGGCTGCTGTGCCTGGCTATGAGGAACACGTTGTCATTCCTCAAAGTCATAGTAAATCTACTGGCCATCTTCATCTCTGGGTTGAGCCTTCCATCCCAGAGGAAGACTCAGTTTTAGGGAAGTCAGTTCAAAGGATCTTTGCATAATGTGGCAGTAGATGTGGTATGTGGTTTTTATCTGGGGACTACTAGGAGCCAGATTGTATGAAAGCAAAGTATCTTTATTAAGTAAAGAGTGTCTTTGCATCTGATCATGATAATGACTAGGAGGTGAGCCAGAGACTGTGTTCTGTCTGGCTGTCTCTTTCTCTTCCTCCCTCCACCTCTTTCTCTCTTTCTCCCTCCCTCTACCTCTCCCTTCCTACCACTCTGCTTTCTCTTTCTCCATCAAAGAAGTCTGAATTCCAAGAATTTTGTCATGTCCAAAGGCCTCCCAAAGTGGGGAGGTCAGGAGGTAGAGGAAAAAGGTAGCTGGCTGCTCTTTGTATGACCATGGCTCAGAAGTTCAGAATCAGTGAGACAAGTTACCAGTTCCATTTTTTTTTTCATTCTTTGCTAAAATTCCCTTCTAATATTCCAATCCTCTAATCAAATTTTATAAAATGAGCCTTACTATGACTTGGAGAGATTATGAAAAGACCATGGCTACACTTTAATGGGCCACTGTGGGCAGCATAGTGGTAGCTTCGAGAGACAGCTAATAAAATGAGCTAGGAGTGGACCTGCAGAATAGGGGTTGATGGTTACAAACAAAACAATGTCTTAATGTCTTCCTCAAGGTTTCTGGAGAAAGATCTCACAGTACTCAGAGAGGGTAAAGTGGGAGAAGACTGAACATCCTGCATAAGGTCAGGACCCCATCCTTCAGGTATCTATCCAATGGCACATTGACCCCTGAAGATTGGAAAACTTGGGGGATACTTGGGCTTTCCCCAAGACTGAAAACTAGGCCAGAGTGATTATTCCTTTTGTTATCCACTGACTTAGTCCCAATCTCCCTATCAGCATATATTGACTCTGTGATGTTTCCAAAGAAAGCTAATCTGAGCTCTCAGTGGTGTTTATTTCTGACCCTGTCATTCTCCCCATGATCTGGGATAAAAATAAGAAATATTCATAAGTTCCTATTAATACACATACAATTATTATAAGTTCTTATTTAAATTTACTTTATTCAACTCTTTAAAGTCAAAATAAGTATTTAAAAGTGATAAAAATTTAAAGGTGATTTAGTGCCCCTGTTTACTTTATACTAAGCTTTCCCCCTAACCTGAATTATTTCATCATCATGCATTTATTGCTGAGATACAGGTGTACTTTGAAAATAACCTCCAGTTAGAGATAACGAAGAACACTTACTTTCTATTGGAACTCCATTTGTTAACCAGCCAATTCTCGGTTTGGGGTTGCCATTAGCTCTACAGATGAGGGTTCCATTCTCTCCTGGGGATAGCACGAGGTTTTGAGGTGCCACAATCCAGTATGGAGCCGCTTTATTGACAGAAGAAAAACAGATTTTTTTAAAAAAAAAATCTGATTCAAAACAAGTATTGAAGCAAAAGAATACATTGGACTGTTGTAATAGATTATAAATGTTTTGTAGAAGACCTGCTAACCTCACTTTTAGAATGAAAAACCCTAAAAATTGCTTCAAATGATTCTTTAAACTTTGCAAAGAATTTGAGCTCTTATCTATGTAATTATAAAATGGAGAAACAATTTTAAAACTTCACTTTTGAAAAGTTCAAAAGATAAAATAGTGTTTTATAGCCCTTTGCTTGGTCCAGTTCCTCTAATATCTAGTTTTTATATAGCTGGATTATGGATATATATGAGACAGGAAGTGAGCATTGCCCTGTCCATCTCCACTGACTGGTTCTCTTTAGCCAAGGAGTTTCTTGGACTTTTCTTTTCTTTCACAATTCAGACACATCTGAAGAATATTAGTTGGCTTGATAGGATGCCTTCAGTGAGCCAGTGAGATGTTTTCTCCTGATTAATTCCAGGTTTGGGTCTGTAAGAATATCACAGTGATGATGGGTTCTTTTAGATCACACTACTTCAAGGAAGACAAGATACTGTAATGACTTATTATTAGTGATGTTAGATTTCACTATGTGGTTTGGGCAACATCTGTCTGGTGTTCTCACTGCAAAGTTACTACTGTCCAGTGCTCTGTGTTCTGTCTATTGGCAGCAGGTCACTAGTACAGTCTACTCTCAAGAGAGGACATAACCTCCATCTCCTCTAGGAAGGAGTATTAAAGAATTACTGGATATACATCAAAATTGTCTTAGCCACTAGGTTTTTGTTTGGTTCAGTCTTGATTTGATTTTTTTTTTTTTTAAAATCAAGAAACACTTTGAAGATCTGCAAATACCTTGCTTCTCCTTAAAATTGTTTTCACCAATTTTAGAATTCCTCCCTGGATCTTGCCTGAAGCAGTTATCACTGTGGGACTATCATGGTGATTTTCTATTTTCACCATTCCTTCTGCATTTACTGATTGCAATTCTGGAAGAATGGTTTGAAAGGGTGGCTTTTTAATCTGGCCTGGATGTAATTACAATAAAAATGAGAAAAGATTCATGACATCATGAATGTGGATATAAATTTAAACTTCTCATTACTAAAAAGTGTGATCAAAGGCACATTGAACTGAAGCTTCAGAGCCTCTACAAATGCAAGGGGGTGCACGTGAGATGGAGTTATACCTTTAACTGTCACAGAAATGGTATGATGGATGGCTCCTAGTGTGTTTTTCGCTATGCACTGATAATTTCCAGAGTCTGCTTCTGAAACGTGGGTGATCTGCAAGGTTTTCTTAAAGTTCCGATAAAACGTCCGGTTGACAGGAAGTATTCCATCTTCTTTGATCCAGTAAATAATTGGAGTAGGTCTGAGAGGATAAATAAATAATGATGTTAGAAAGGATGAGTTCACCTGTGACTGTCTTGCAGCATCAATTCTCATGCACATTTGTAATCAATTGTTTTTGTAAAGATAATGACAAATATACAGGCCTTTTCATTAGAATCACATTTCTATAAGTAACGCTCAAGCCCTGTACTTGGAACAAACCCCATTTTTAAATAATGAAAATTATGCTAGTTTGGACATACAGTAAAGTTTGACTTCAGTGATGTACTTCACTGCAAGCATGGATTACTTTACTAAAGGGACCTAATCTTTTCTTCAAGGTTCTGGTCAGTGAAGATGCTCTAGAGATTCTTCCTATGTCAACCAAGAGAATTATTATTAAGTTAATCACATTGTATTATAATTCCCCATCAGCTAGTGTTAAAGATATATAGTGAATGAACTCATGAGCCATCAGTGCCCTTGGACTTGTATATACATTTACTAATCAAACTTCCTGTTTTATGACACATGGATGATATGAATTAAATGATTAATGAATTAAAACTTTTTCCTTCACTTCCTTATTAGTGAAACCTTAGAACACCATTAGGCTAATTGATAATAATAGACCAGATTAATGCTGTACCACTTCTCACTCAATTTTATCCATTCAAATCAGGAAAATCCAAGCAAATGGTTTGATGAGGAAAAGCCAGAATACTGCTTGGAGTTGGATCTTTTTCAAATGCTCAGATCTTAGCTCAAATTCTTCTCTGACATTGGTTCACTGACCTACTTGGCCCTTAGCATCTCCAGTTGTCTTAATGAGAAGAATGGTTGGCTAGTATAATGTCTTTACAAAGTTTTCATGAAGTAAAAATTTAAAAATTATTCACACAAACATTGTGTGTGTATGTGTGTACACTAAGCTAAGTGTGTGGGAAATAGTAAAGAAGAATGGTTGATGGAGATCTTAAAGAGATCATTATATTTGTCCTCAGAGATGGAAAAATACATGTTTGTATTGACAATTAGTAAATGTGGCTTTGTTTTGTTTGCATAAACAAAATGACAGCATATAAACTTGGTGATCTGGTTTCTAAATTTAAAACCTGCTATGAACATGTAGAGCTGCAGTAGATGTGAAATCAGTTTGGAAGTTCTAGTCACACGTGGATCTAACCATTCATGTTTCCTTAGTCAGACTCATGTTTCACACGAGGTGGGAGAGCAAAGGGGCAAGACACTCAATATTCCAGGTTACAGTGAGCAAAGGACCAGTTGTTATGGAAAGTTCCTACTGTACTGAAAATTCTTTAAGATTTATGAATGTTTTAATACCACATCTAACAGTCCCTGAGCTGCAAGCAGTACAGTACCTACCAGGGTTTCTCAAGATTTCAATGTTTTTATTTTTTTTTTATTTTCAAATTATAAGCATATTTTACAAAAACAAAACAAAACATTCAGTGTTCCTAATTTAAAAATATGAAACTTGTTAAATGTCATGTTGGTGCTTGAATGAAAGCAAAATGGAAGTTGGAAAAATCCTATTAGGAAAGGTTGATTTTTTTTTTTTTAAATTAAATGTATTTATTTATTTTACATCCTGGCTGCAAGTTTCCCCTCCCTCCTCTCTTCTCATTCCTTCCCTCCCATATCCCCTCAGACCCCCCAAATTCACGCCCCTGTTTCTGTACATAAAGGAGCAGTCTTCCTATGGGTATCAACAAAACACTGGAAAGATTGATTTTTTGTTTGTTTGTTTGTTCTATCTTTAAGAATTTTGTTTTTAAACTGAAAAATCAAATGTAAATTCCCAATTTAGCCAGCAGAGGTCTCCATGGGCATCCTGAAGTAATTATTCCTGGATTAAGGAAAGATTATGTGATCATTGGGTTGCCAGGTCAGAGACAATACAAATCATAAAGCATGAAGGCAGCCAGCGTGCTCCTGGGATCCCACTCACAGTTGCAGTATCTGTGTTTACATAATGGCACTTGCTGTGTGCCAGGCACTGTGGGAGGACAATCTACAACCTGCCTGTCATATAGATCTAATGTCACCGTTGCTCTTGTATCTGTGGAAGGACTCCCTGGAAGGCCTAACAAAGACACATAGACTCTACAGTCCGCCCTCAGGAAAGAACAGATGGAAAAACGCCACAGTTTTAAGGCCTTGACATGCTCTGTGTGCTTTAGATGGCAGACAATAGGAGAGGGTGACACTGCTACAAATCCATTGCCAATGCAGCTATCAGGTGCTCCATGTGGCAGACCTTGAGCTTAGTAACACCCCCCCAAGTTAATCCACCTTCAGATGACACCCCCACACCCTGCCCAAGCTCTGGACAAATGACCAAGAATAAGTAGCTGTTTTGTTTTTGTTTTTTTAAGCTACCAAGTACTAAGGTTGTTCGTTAGAAAGCAGCAAAATCCTACCGCTTACTACATAAAGCACAGTGATCACAAGGTGATTTCAGATATAGATAATGCAATACAACACTATCACAATGAAATACTTTAGCAATAACATGGAATTCAAAGTTTACTCAGGAAATGATTTTGCTCAAATTAGAAGCATAAGACAACAGTGCTTCCTTGGATATTACTTCCCACCAGTCTTTTATATTTGGGTAAGAAGCATGCATTAGGACAGAACGTGTTAACAGTTAACTCACAGGCCTTCTGCAATGCACTCCAGTGACAGCACGTTTCCCCTCAGTTCCTCTTTGAGGCTTTCATTGCCCTCTGGAGTTAGAAATGTTGGTGGTCTCTCCTTACTAGATTTAGCTACAAATAAAAAATGCGATATACATTAAAATTATAAAGATGTGTTTTCTAGGAACATAGTCATTGTCAAGAGCTGCCTAAAATTCTAATCTCATTTCAAATCCGTTCCATGCTTATTTTGGAATTTGTTCAGTTATGCATACACACTCTGTCCTTACACTTATTCAGTGTGTAGGAAAAGAAACAATTTTGGTTGCCTGAGAAAACCAGTGGAAGGACTCCTTTTATACATGTCTTTACTTTGGGTTAGGTCTTATCAATTTTCTATAGGTTGGTAAATTTTCAAAATGTCAACAAAAAAAAAAAAAAAAATCAGCTCATCAAACTGTACATCCCTTAAGACTGGTGCTCAAGTCAAAGCAAAAAGTGTGTCTTTTGGAAAATTCTTATTTTTTTCAGCAGCAAATCATTATGAACAAAGCATTTTGGTTTATTCTAGATTGAGCATTATGGGCACTGACTTATATCTCAAGATTCTTACATTGCAAGATTTGTGAAAAATAAAACAAAACTAAACAATTACTGGCAGAGTTCTGGCATATTATATGCCTTGAATGAAGATTAAAAGTAGCGGGGAGGGGGTGCTAAAAGAGTGGCTACATGGTAGAGGGTTTGTTTAATGTGTAAGATACTTCATTTGGTTCCTAGCTTTGGGGAAAAAAAGAAAAGGAATATTCACAGAGCTAAACATATTGATAAAAGTTTTTCAATGACAAAATAAAGAAGGTCTAAGTCAGAGATCTTAGAAGTATTTACACAGAAGACCTCCTGTCTGATGGTTTCTTAAATATGAGTCCTTATTTACTGAAATCCTTGGAAATTTTCAAATGGAAATGGGATAAAACTCTGTGAACTTTCATTATTTCAACCACAAATATCTACTTGATGCTTCTACAGCCAAATGAAGAGGCAGCATGTAAATTTCTCATTTCTCAGAAGGAAAATTGAGTACAAAAAAAGGCATTGCTGAAGAAAAATTAGTTTTCTTGAGGGTTTAGAGCTTGTTGGCGACCTTACTCCTCTAAAAGTCACCTTGAGAATGCTCTCAAGGACCATATTCAGGGGGCTATATTAAATGAATAAAGGCATGGGTTATATCCTGCCATATTCTCTAATGTTCATATAGCAAAGGTAGAAAATTAAAGCAGCAAGAACTCTACCTATGGAAATTAAGGAGTCTGTATGTTCAGAGTCCCTTATTTTTAGGAATAGATTTTATGCTTGGCAAGCACTTTTTCATTAAGGAAATCAAATTCTTTCCAGTTTAAAACAATGAAGCTGAATGGTCTATTGTTAGAAATTTGCTCCCACAGAAGACAATGAGTGGGCTTCTAACAAAGCTAAGAACAATATGGTTGCTAATGCTACTGAATGACGTTAGACAATTACTATGGAATGTTAGTTACTAAAGGTGCTGATGAGTCAATCAGTATTCTAGGGGTTAATATGACCAGTCAGTTCATGTGTAGGTCATGCAAAGAGTTTTTAGACAGCACAAAATATGGAAAATACAATTCTGAACACATATGAAAGATTTTTTTCTAAAGAATATGAAATGATTTGCATGAAACATTATAACAAGTTTATACATACATCATGGAAAATGTTTTAGTCACATGCTTGAAATTTTATAGCTAAGTTTTATAAGAAACATACATTGGCACAGTGATATTGAACATGTGATTAGAAATTTCATAAAGAAACAAAGTTAAATAACCATGGAGGTGGAGTTAGTGAACTAAAGTCTACAATGAAGGAGAAAATATCAGTTACAACCACTGTAACTCACCACCATAAAACTCAGTGTCACTCAAATTAGCAGCTATAGTGTCATTCAATTCATCCACTGAAATAAACAGAATATCATGAAGAGGGCATAAAGGTAGGGAAGAAGAGTCAAAAAAGACGGGGCAACAAAAACAAATGCATACAGGTATGCTAACAACAATTCCTTCCAGGTAAATACAGTGCTTGACATCATACTGGCTAAGTCATTAATTCACTCAGCCACCCCCAACTACAACTTGAACTACAGGATAAATGCTAATAAAAGGCATTGTGAAGCATAATACATACACCAATGCTCAGAATGCCACAGAGTCGGGAGGTTGCCATAGAAACAGGAATGGCAATCAGTGAAAAATGTAAACCCAATATTTAGGGTATGTGTGCTTTTTCTAGCACATAAGCTAATGCTTTAGGGATCCTTTACAGGAATTTTCCTGATCATTGAACCGGTTTGCCTCAGATACAGAACTGTATTAATTGTTAATAATTTGATTCATGTATGTAAATGCCATTGAAAGAGACCCAGAAGACCCAGCTCTTACCTGAAATCACCTTCAAAGAAATAGGTTGCTTCTGTTGTATGGTTTGAGTGTGATTAAATCTGGCATAGCAGATATAGTCTTCACGGGTGTCTTCTGGGAGGACATTGGAGAAATAAAGGTCTCCATTCAGGCCTTGGGAAACCCGCTCACTCTGTGGAAGTCTTTGGAAGGCTGGAGGAAGACAGAGAGATACTCAGATCATTCTATCATACACTTGCCATTCTCCACATCACCAGGACAGCCACCTACTAACACCTCTGAGCTTCACCTGAGAAAAATAAATATATGTTTCTCAAAGCTCTTTTTGTAAAAGAAAACAACTCTCTGAGGGCTTATTTGTTTGTTGCTGTTGTTTTAGTTATGTTTTTTGCTTTTAAGATGTGAGACACACAGACATTCCACTGAAACTGGCCAGTTCCTAATTTCTTGGTGTTTGAAGCAGTATTAGCACTAGAACTGTGAAGTGAAATATTTCATTAACAAAGTAGAAACGGAAAAAAAAATGCTCTGTAGCAGGTCTGTATATTTCCTGGTATCTGAATTGGTCTCTAATTGCACACATTTTAGGAAACACATCAGAAAAGTTTGTAAGAATATTAACATGAGTTACATGTCATCATAAATTAGGCCAGGAGACAAGCACAACCGTCCCCCATCCCGGTGTGAGCCTACAATCTAATTGATGAACCAAGTGGCAACCACCTGGTTAAACATAACAGGCAATGGCAATGATGCCACTATCTCATGTTATGATGTGTTCCTGGGAACCAGGCCTGGTTTCCCTCATCTTGTGTACAGTTCAACTTGTGATATAGTTCATCTTTTATTCATTACATGTGTGAATAATGGCCATCTCCTTGTACTAAAATCTAAGCTCCAAGAAGGAAAACACGTTTTGTTTAATGCTAAAGCTATGGACAAGTGAGCAGCCTTTGGCAAGGGCTCCTTCAAACACTGTTGGAATAGTTGAATATCAGTCATCAGCACATTGACAATCCAGTTTCCAGAAAGATCATCCTCCTTCTAGACCAAGTAGGGAGCTAGCCTCAGGCACAACAAGAGGATTTTCTATATGGCTGAGGAGTGAAGAGAGGTGGAAGCCACTGATCTGCATATGATGTTACATTTGACCATCAAAAAGCATCCCAAAGCTCCTAGCTCAGTTCCCAGAGCCTCAACTGTGATTTCTTCCACTCCCAGGTGAGGGGGACTTGGTCAAATTGCACATCCCTGAAACATAGGCTGGGGGTTTATATTTCTTCAGCCTGAGGTAAGGATATGTGTTCTTCCTGCAGCAGGTATCTGGCCTAGTATTTCACAAAAAGCAAAATTGTAGTCAAAACCCAGCAGTAACTTTGGCAGTTGGAGCCCTGTGAATTGTGTTATCCAGGTTTCTGTCAAGTTGGTGGCTTATAAATTTACAGTCTTAAAACATTAATCCTCTTGGATAGGAATGACTTTAAAATACTGAGGAAAAGAATGGACACTGAAAGCCAGGCAAGGCGGTGCATGCCTGAAACCCAAGCTATTTGGAAGGGGAAGAACTACAAGGTGAGGCAAGTCTGTACTACATAACAAGTTCAACATCATCCTGGTCTACAGAGTGAGACCCTGTCTCAGAAAACATACACTTATTTAATGAATCCAAAGCACCAAAGACACATATTTATTGCCTTTTGTTTCTCCTGAATCACATGACTAATGGATGCTGCTAGCTCTAATGTAAGGCAACAGGCATCAATGGGTATGTGTGTGTGTGAGAGAGTGTGGGGGTCGGTGACTGCATTTGAGTTTCTCTGTATTATACTTGGAAAAAAAGAATACGGAGATAGGAATACTTTTATGATGCATAAAGCAAGAGTGCTATGGGGATTTAGCCTTTTCTCACATTCATATGCAAGCCCATTTGAAAGGCAGATGGTTTGCTGCCATTTTAAAATGTAAGACCTCATACATATTGCCAGTTGTGCCATGCAGGAAGCATGAGCTATGTATTCTGATTATTTGGAGAGTTTCCACGTGACATATGTCTTTATTAAGAAAACAAGAAATCATTTCTGAATAAGAACGATTAATACATCTAAATTTGATGACATTTGCAAAATGTTATTCTCAAAGCCATAAATCACACCTTTGTATTAGATTTGTTGTGCATACCCTCCATATCCATAACAACTGCCACATAAATAAAGGGAGTATATATTTGCACATTTATTTGTTTTCCACTTCTTCTGACACTTTCTTTGAGTGGTTTCAAGAGTAAACAATGAACATTAGGTGTTAGAGTCCAGCTTTCTCCTCAGTGAGGTTTGCAGCCTATGATTGATTGCAGAGCGAGTCATGTCTCTGAGAATAGGGTATTTTGTGCAAATCTTTTGCATGAGTTCCCACCATTCCATCTACAGGCAGGTCTCATGCAATGCCACCGTCGAATTATTTTTGCCAGATCTAACAGGCATTTCCCAGGCATCATGCTATCTATTAGCTTCACTCAACAATCATTAGTATTTTATAACCTGGGTTCTCCGCCTGGTGGGTGGAACACAATTCTATCTCTCTATGGAATCTATTGACTACTCACTGTTCTTTCTCATTTGCTTTTCTGTGTTCTTGCACAGCTGTTGGTCTCAGTCTGCAGTCTCTGTTCTCTACCTCCAGTACCAGATCTCTAAATTGTCTCATACAGCCCATGGTTGCTTCCTATGCTTTTATGCACTAAGAATTCATACCATGCTCACTGCAGCCCAGCTCATCTTCTGCCTCACACCTCTCACCTTTTTTGAGCGTGTTGAGCTGAGGATGCCTTGGGATGCCTTGGACCTCTCACATCTTAAATTCTGGGTTCATGGTTTCTAAGCCAAGCTGTGTGCCACCTCTAAGATAGCATGCTAACAGAATACCTTTTTTGGAGGGGGAGAGATTAGAACAATAAATATTTGACTATGTGAAAAGTAAGCAAATTTGAAACTTTCTAGCAACTATATTTATTTCTCTTTGTTCTAGTTTCTTTATGAGGAAAATGAAAAGGATGGCTGGATAAGCTTCAGCTGGTTATGAGAAACTAATAGGAGACTCAGTGTAATATTATTAGTAAAGCACTACACTCAGAAAAGGCTCAATAAATATTAACTGTGTTGGTAATTTTAAATAAAACAAGAAATGGTATAATAAAAGTAACCTGATTCCCCCACTACTAGTCTTTGAGGTTTCGGGAGAGGATGCTCCTATTTTTCAATCAGTTTTCCATCTCTAATCTCGGCATTCATCCCTGGTTTTTCTCCTCATGTTCCCATATCTCCCTCTGTAGAGGCTTTACCCTCAAATTATATGCAGAGTCTGACCCAGTCTACTGCCACTTCCCAAGTTCAAGTCACCAGTAACCATGATCTGGTTTACAGCAATACACACCTATTTGGTCTCCACCCTACCTCTTTTTCAAGTGCTGAAGATTGAACCTAGGGCCCTATAGATCCTAGACAAGTGATCTACCACTCAGCTATATGCTAAGCCACAACCTGACTTGTCCCCACTTCTCTTTGGTCCTCCATGTTCTCCACACATGAATGGAAGTGATCCTTTTAATAATTATTTTATTTCAGGTAAATGCGTTCTTTCAACATTTTCCTATTTCATTCAGATTTAAAAAAAAAAAAAAAAAAAAAAGGCCCTTTCCATTGAGTCCCTGTGGTTCCCTGACACTACTCTCCCTTCCTCTTGGCTACTTTTTCTGGTTTAGTTTTTTGTTTTGTTTGGTTGGTTGGTTTGGTTTGCTTTGTTTTTCACGCTAGGGATGCTTCTCTTTAGGGCTTCTACAAATGCTCCCTTTTCATACAAATATGTAGATCACTCATCACTCATTTGTCCTCTCACCCCAGCACATTAGCACTGGGCTCACATTTCTGCTTTATTTTCTTCCATAAAGTTTATCATTAACTGATAAATTTTCAAAATGCATTTACTGTCTGCCTCCTTTTCATTCTCAGCTTACCTCTGTTGGATAGAAAGCAAACCCAGTCATCATTGGGCTTGGATTTTCTATTGTTGTTGATCTATAGCAATGCATGGTACAGTTAATGAATGAAGTGGCATGGTACTTAGTTCATTAAGCAACTGTTTTTCTGAGTATCTATAGATCATTTTATAAGCACTTTAGCATTCATAGGAGGAGGTGAATTGTTAATACAAAAAATAACTACAAGATGATTGAAGGAAATTCTTAATGTTAGAACTTACAATTATCCATCCAAAATATTATGGCTGGTGGTAATCCAATTGGAGGTCTACAAGGAAGTATCAATGACTGACCACTTCGAAGTGTTATTGGTTCAAGTCTTTCTTTGGTCCACAAGGGAGACCCTGTTAATGAAAAACAAAAAACCCAAAAAACCTTCAGAGTTATGTCTTCATGCAAGACTAAAAAGAAGACAACAATACAAAAAAAAAAAAAAAAAAAAAAAAAAAAGGTATCCAAAGTTTTTGGAAAATGGTAACCTATTATTTATAATTTCTCATTATTTATATACATTAAACAATAAGAAAATGACTTTTAAACGAGGCACTAGAGTTTTCTTTTTAAAAAACAAAATATATTAGGAGAAAAAGAAAACTCTCCTTTACTATTATTATATTTATTTTATATATTACATATACTAACATGTAATAATTATACTATTGGTAGTGTGACTTAAGCCACTAATTCATTATCTAATAATAAGACATCTACTTTGATACATGTAACTTCTTCACAGAGAATGGAAAAACTTAAATGGCAGCATATTTGCTAAAGAAGTAACTATATATACATCAATATTTCATATAGGATTACTTGTGTATACTCATAAGATTTGTAAGATAATATATATTATATATCAATGTCAAAAAGGTTGTAAAATGGCTTTCAGACTAAGTTGGCTTTACATACATATACGTAAGGACAGAAAAATACCGGCTAGAAGTTATTTTCATGAATGGAAAGACTAATGATCAATTTAAATTTCTTTATGTAGAATTCTAGATGCATAAGTTTAAATGTTTTCAAAATAACCACAATTGGAAGTGGTCACTATTCTTTAAAGGTCATGTTTGGTTGAGAAATCTCCCTTACTGGATGGGCGGACAACAATGTTGTTAGAGATCGCAGCTCCACGCTCATTCCTGGCTGTGCACTGATAGACGCCTTCATAGGTCTCAGCTTTCCCTTCACTCATGATATTGATTATTAGTGTTCCAGAACCAGGCTTCATGGTGACCAGAGCATCTTTGTCTATATCAAAATGAGTTCCATTACGAGTCCAGGAAAAGCTGCCCAAAACATCAAGGGTTAAGCTCATTAATGATCTAAAAATATAGGATTATGTACCCCTTTAAAAAAAAACCTTAGTTTTATAGGGTTCCTGAAATAATTGTTAGATTTCAATATTTAGCAAAAGGTCCCATTCTTAAAATACTGTGCTGAATCATGATTCAGAAAAAAAAATGCTATTTTTATATTTTGAGGCTTATAACTCATCTAAAACCAGCTCAAATCTAGTACAAATTGCTTGCCATTTTTTAAAGAAACTATAAAAAACAGGTCTTTAAGGCATAGTCTCTGAACATTTTTATTATGAACCCCATTGTTCATACACAGTTAAGTTGTCTATAAAAATGTGCTCTAGGCTGAAATGTGACAAGAAAGACACCTAGAGTATTATATTATTTTTGAGTGGGAAATTGATCAGATCTGTTTCAATCCAGAGAACAGGATCAGGGTTAAGACTTTGGGTGTTCTAAACATTAGTTATTAAAAGTGGTCATTCTATATAAGGTGAATTTTTAATTCTAGAAATAATTACATAACGTTTAGAAGATATGTCAAATTGTCAATCAAGATTCATTTTTTTTCTCAGTTTAGTTATATAAAAGATGCCCTCTTCTATGACTAAATGTCATAGTGCTCGTGTGATTAACTTCCTAATTAGGCACACCTTGGTGATGGTCAGACAATGGTGACATACATGTCAAACATCCCTGTGTTTTCCAACTTGGATTTCTTGTTTTACTATGTATGCTTACCAAAGCTAGAGAGGGGGTAGTGGTGGTATAGGTTACAGGCATCTCATGGGTAGAGGGCACAGACACCGGTAAACATCCCACAGTATTCAGGACAGCTTCATTTCACAGCAAAAAATCATGACTGCTAACTAGTGACAAAAAGTCTGTCAAACTTGGATGGCCTTACCTAAGAATGAAGCTAAAGTGCACACTGAGGTCTGTTTGAAAAATGGTTTCCCAAAAATATGGTGGGGCTATTGTTTTGGAGTGAAGCTTTGATGAAAGTGTTAACATGCATAGATATCTAGAACAACGTAGTATATTTCCTCAGGTTCTAGTTTAATAAAACTTATAATATATAAGCATGCAAATAAAATATCTAAAATATTCATCCTTTTATTATTTGTAAATTCTTATGCCTAGTTACAATTTAATAGTCCTGAGACTTAATAGTTGCAATATTTTAAAGTCTCATAGATTAACAATCAAGCTCTATAGAATCTTCCATACTATTGGATGTTATTTTCCAGAGGGATTTGGATAATAGTCCAGCAGGTGACACTCAGGATCCCATCTTTATCATGTTTTGTTTAGACCTGATTATGATGAGCTCATGCTGAGATCTACAATAGAGAACCCTGAGAAGTGTAGAGGATGGTATAGGACTATTACATGGCCAGTATAGAAGTAAGAGAGCTCATAGAAGCCATCCATTCAAATCATCCTTTATCTTTTCAACCTATGAGAAAGCAAGCCCAGATAAAAGGGTTTGCCCCTTGTCATAAACCACTGGTGTCAGAAGCAAGATTAGACGATCTTTCTCTAGCTCCTTACAAATTAAGGGCATTTTACAGAAAAGCATGAATAGGAAATGCAAAATTCTGGGCTTTAACAAAGAAGCTGTAATTAATCTGAGAGATGAGACAATGAACATCTAACTGATACTTTAGAGATGTGCAGGACCTAGAAGACACATTAAACACCATTAAAGGACTAAAATGAGCCAGGGAGTTGGTGGTAAACATGAGCATGTTGTCAGTCATATTGAGAAATATCCAACTGAAAATGAAATTGCTCCACATGATCTTCCCTGTTCTATCAAAATTCCAGACATTTTCATATGCACATAATTGCCTACTATTTTAAATGCTATCAAAAGCAGGAAGCATGCTTACCTTGGAGGAGGTTTCCCTTTAGCCTCACACTGGATTACAATATTCTCCCGAGGGTCAATAATGTAGTCCTTTGGCGACTGCTGAGTGATAGTTGGAGGTTGTACCACTTAATTGTAAAAGGGAAAATAATGTAAAAAATAAATGTTTTACTATCAATAATAGGAACCACTTTTTGTATATTAAAATCACTTGCCTAAGATTAAATATGCCACGCATATTCTTAGTAACTTCTGTTGTGGCAGTAAATCCTCATTAGGTTTTCAACTAAAACTCATCTAAAGTTGGGAAGTCAGGATACAAATTTCCTTTGGCAACACCACACACATTTGCAAAATCCATTTTCCCCACACCAAAAATCTGGGAAAATGATTACTAATACAAGTCTAATATTCAAACATTGTTTTTCTGATGTAACAATGAGAAATTCATGGTTATTTTGTTTCAAGTGATATCTTTAATATAAGTTATGAGGTAGATTTGACTCTTCCTCATGATAGAATATAGAGCTCATTGGTATGCTAATTATGTAAATTAATATATCCCAGGGAAACATATTTTTGGCATGCACATATATAAAAGATGGTTAAGTTAGATCCTTGACATGCCTTATCAGAGACAGGAGGTAAATGAATTAGAAATGAAGAGAAAGCATTCTTATTTGGCTATAATTGGGGTTGAAATTCCCCTTTTTGAGGGGATTGTGTTTCTAAAGGATATCTGTTTTGACTCAGAGCAATTCAATCTGAAGAAAGCCAGTCTACAGACCTTAATCATTCTCCAAGTTGCTCTAAGAGCACTATAGGGTCTTTCCTCTCAGGAGATCAGGATTCTTGTTAAAATGGGAAAGCACTAGATACTATAGATTTCAACTTCTGTTTGTTATTCAGAGAGACTAATGGCTTCACCAGGAATGCCAAGCAGGGACTAATTTTCACCTCATTTCTGCTTGGTCCATGCTAAGCACAGCTTCAGGGAAAGCTATCCACAGAGCGGTAGTTTGCAATTTGTCCTTGCTCTTCCAGGGACCTTTGGCCATCTGGAGAGTTTCCATTGCCACAACTAGGGTTGAGGTAGATTGTTTACCTGTAGTAGGTAGAGGCCAAGGATGTCTCTATATATTTCACAATATGTACAGCAGACAAAGGCTTACCTGGTCCCCAATGCTAGGACCAAGAAACCCGGCATGTGCTACAAAGTGAGTGGATCTTCTGGATTGTGCAATAAAACAGTCCTGTGCCAGCTTGCTTTCCCCTGCATCAGGCACTTTGGACCCCCTTGCCTTTATTTTGTTAATTTCCTAGTCAGTAGTTCTGTTTTGATGGTTAGTAGCTCTCTGATTTTCATTAGCTGAGAGACTTGAGGCTCAATGCCTGTAAGCACTCAGAGGGGAATGAAGTTTTAAAAGTAGACTTGACCTCCAACTGTAACTGGGAAGATTTCTACACACTTTGTGTAACATTTTTAGATGCCTACACTGGGACTGTTCAGTTGTGCTTCAGGATTCTGATTTGGACCAGCGTCATTTTGAAGTGATCAGCCTCAGATTCTGGGAGTACTGGGTTTAGGATAATGAAAGGAATTCTCAAGGTTCTACACCATCAAAATGGTGAACAAAGACATTGATAGAAGGGATTCCTAGAGTCATTCAGTCCAGTTCTTCTTGGGGGAGAGGGATAATGGGATGGAAGAAGAGTGCCAGACATGCAAATTTGCTTTCAAATGCAGGGCTTCCCCTCCTGTGTTTGCAGCTGCACCAGGAGTTTGCCATCTGGAGGTATCTTTTTGTACAGTGCTTAGGTCATATGGCAATTAACAAATGCTTTGTAGTAATAAGTGACTTACCAAGATTTCTCTGTTTAATTCAACATCAAAGGAAAATGTCTGAAAATGGACCATCTTTTCGCTGGATTATAATGCTACCCAACTGTCAGAAGCAGCAGAAATTTTTTTCCTTATAGGAAGCTTCTCAGGAACAATATTGCTGAAATGTTCTGTCTTCTGTGTATTTCAATACAATCTGCTAATGTGCAGAGATTTTCTACTTATAACACCTGGGACTACTGTTCTACCAGTTCTGAAGGCTGTAGTAATAGAAAAGGGACTTGAGTGAGCTTCTGCACACACCCAACTTCCAAAACTCTGCAAAAGATGTGTGTCTGTTCCAGTTGATGGCATTTGAAAAAAATTATTCTCCCTACAAAGTTTTGAATTTTCTCATTGAGTTACATCAGATGTGAATACAGCATACAGCTTGTATATTAGTAGAATAGCATGTTGGTGAGAGTAATATCAGAGTTGCAATTATTCATGCAGGTTATATACTCCATTTGTACCTTAGCATTCAAATGAGGTATTTGGCTATAGTAAGCAACATGCTTAAAAAGACGCTAATCACAAAGCATGATGTTGTTTGCTTGATTCACACTATTAATTCAAGAAACAAGGACACAGTCACATCTTCACACCGCCTAGTAATTTGTAGAAATGCACTTACAGTCATCAAGAAGCTTTGCTTTTTCCCCATCAGAATCAGCAGGTAAGTGGGCAAAGAAGATTAAAGAAAATCAGATGTTAGTAATGAGAATGTTAGCACCCTAAAGAAAAAAAACAGGGCATCTTGTCTACTTGGTTTGACCTAGAATAAAAACCATTCTGTCAAAGTTGAAGTTGTGACATTGCAAGAGAAAGAAACTGGCTGGCATGCAGTTTTGTCTGCCCCTGCAGCAGCTTCTCACATCAGCATATGGAAGAACAAAGGCATGCTGTAGGAAAAAATGGAGGGGGAACTCTTCCAGGAATAGGGATATACAACTCCATCCTATACACATTGTGCTGCACTGATAATTATGGTCATTTTTTAAAAAAAATATAAAATCTACAATTAACTTGAGTTGTCACTCTCTGTCTAGTGTCTGATCTTATTATCCCAGATACCACAATGCACACAATAATAATATCTAATTTGGGATATTGCTATAACTCTCCATCCAAGTCAAAACTAACATTGACTTCAGATATGTGCACTTCTATGGTTATTTTCCAAGATGGTTTTATGCCATTAGCATTTTTCTGCTTTGGAATTCTCAATAGCCCAGACTGAGGATGGATGATCATTGTGTGTGCCGAAGAAAGGGTGTGTGGAACTGGGAAGTGTTTACATGCATTTTCAATCATTCTGCAGGTCTGCCTGCCACTACTACTTGCAAAGGTTAATGCAGGAGAGCCTAGGCTATTGGTGTCTTGATTTTCATCAAGGTTGTGCCTCTTCTCCATTAGCAGTCATAATTGAGTTAGCCCTAGGTGCCTGTTTCCCCTGATAGTTAGATTGAGCAGTCAGATTAAGGAAGAATATATTTAACACAAGAGAGAACAAAGGCATTTCCCTTGCTGCTTTTCCTTCTTCCCAGTGAATCTATTAGACCAAACTCATAGTTAAATATTCCTGCTCCAATAGGCTCAGGCAAGTGCATATTTCAATTAAATATATCTGCATATTTTAAATTAAGTTCATTGGCTGAATAACTAAATGAAAATATTGCATTTTGTTGGGCTTTATTATAGAGATGCATGGCCCAGGGAGTGAGCAGAGTGTGCAGGAAACACCATCTCACACCTTCTTACAGGCAGTTGCAACTTCTGTGACTGAAAAGGACATCCCAGCAATTGCATAGCCCTAGGAAATAGCTATCTTTCTTGTGCCTTAGAAACCTTGCCAAACAGACATTCTACTCAAGAAGCTAATGGCTTTAAAGAGGTCATGAAGATTGGGGAGAAAGGGTAAATCAATTGTGAAGTACAGTAATTGTTCCGATTTGAAATTCAGCTTCATGCTCAGGAACATATCCAGCTGGAGCCCAGTGCTGTCTTCATTGTCTACAAACAAAACACTCAGGCTAGGCAGACTGTGGTATATATTTTACTTTGGAAAAAATAAGAGAAAGAAATTCAGTAGCCCCTGTTTGCTGCTTCCTTTGACTGATTTTATAGGTCTTGCCTTAGTATCATAATGTTACACCTTTGTACATGACATACTAGTTGTTATAATCCAGGCAGGCCTGGCTCTGCCCCTTGAACTTGGTACAGTGCCTCTGAGCACCTTGGCTCTATACACAGGCACGGAGGTCTCTTTAGGAGAAGAACTCCTCTGCCTACTTTCTTCCTCTGTCATCTCTCTGAGGAGACATCTCTTCTCACACACACATTCTCTCTCTCCCTCTGTGTGTATGTGTGCGTCTCTGTCTCTATCTCTGTGTCTCTCTATCTCTTCTCTCTTTCCTTCCCTTATTTTGTTACCATCCCTCCCCAATAAACTGTCAACATAAGTCACATCTACAGATCTCTTTCCCATCCACGCCCCTGTCCTTCACTTGCTGCTGTCTCACCCTTCTGCCTTGAAACCAGTCAAGGCTCCCATGCTCTGTATTCACGGCTCTACTGTATTATAACACTAGTCTTATAATTAAATTTACACTGAAGATGCAAAACAAGAAAGTGAAATGTGGCCGTCTGTCTGAATTGGAAGAAACAACATATGAAGTATGGGTGATTGGGGGATACATTGGGACAGAAGGTGGGCGAGAACATTCTCTAGTTTTTTTCTAGAGATGCCTCAACAATAGAGAAAGAAAGTGACACAATGAGGACAATAAGAGGGGTCTGTATCATCCTTGTAAAGTAGTTCACATGGCCCTTCCACGAAGGAGTGCCCACAGGGAGGATCAGAGCAGTTGCACCATTCCCTTCTCAGACCACCCCTACCACTGTACACAAAAAACACCTAAGGCAAAGAAAGATAATGAGAAGAGAGGACACCGTGGCCAGTCATTTCCATGGCCTTTTCTATGGTATCTTCATAAGCACCAGGTGCTGAAGGTAAAAGCCAAATTAATTTTGATTAGCTTTTCAGTGTCATGCAGACACTTTTCTCATCAACACAGTTCAGGATGATGGTAAATACTGAGAGGGTTTGCCTCCTGGCCTGAGAGATTCAATACTCACGGTCAAGAGGAACATCCAGGGCACTAATGATCTGGCACAGGAAGAGAATCAGGGGCACTCTGCCTGCAGAGAAGGGCTTCTTTTTCGGCATTATTTTAAGCTGCTGCATCAGCTCAACTCCTGCTGAGACCCACACACGGAATTTCCTTTTCTTCTTTCACAGAAGATTTTCGTGCAAAGTGCAAGTAATTTTTTCATGCAGGGAACTGAAAAAGGAGGGGATGAGAACAATAATTATAATGTATTAAAAGTAGGAAAGGAAGAGTAAAAATATGCAGCTCAGAAAAAAAAATCAGCTCTCCATTGTACATGAATTCTAAAAGGGAGTTAAGTTTTAAATATTTAACTCAGAGACTGGAACAATCATTTATTCATAAATCTAATATCAGTTCAGAAGTATTTGTGGCGACGTCAAGCAAAATCCGCACCCTTTCCCATTATTATGATTTTTCCACTTTTAAATATTTGTGCTCAAGCTATCTAGAGGCAACCATTTCTTTCTTAATAGGTCAGGAAACTCTGGCTGTGAAGCCAGTTGAGGAGTGAGCACCTGAGGCTTCAGAGGGACAGCCTAAGGGCTTTTTCATTCTGAAGATGCTTGTTGAGTATCTCCTTTGAAGCCTAAACACTGGTGGAACAGCTGAACACACTACTTCATGTCATTTTCATTTCTTACCTACACTACAGGTTCAGAACCAGCTGAGCTCTGAGCTCCAGGCTGTCCTCAGCAGTCACTCTCCTCAACAGTGCTGATCAACTATGTTCTCCAAGTTCTTCTTCCATGAAATATTGGGGGTCACCATATTAGGTGACTTTAGAAGCCCTCGGTGGTCTGGACTGATTGATTCCACGTGCTTCCTTACAATTATTTTCTAGATGATTTCCTCTATACTTTCTGTGTTAGGTTTCTAATGTGCCCTGAAATCTCCTACCTTCTTGACTGATTTTATCCCATCCCTTTACTTGGAAAGCTTCATCCACCCTATTTGCTTACCAAAGTCTTATTTGTTTGCTAAGAATGACTTAGGAGAAACAACAGCTGATCATCCAGACTAGAAAACATTCCAGCATCACCTCTAAATTCCTGAAATTTCTCCTTGTATACATACTGTTTGTGTATGTATGTACATATGCCTGCATGCGTATTTGTATAAACATGATCTCAGCACCTAGGAGTCTGACACAGGAGGATCACTGGGAGTTCAAGGCCATCCTGAGCTACATAGTGAATCCAAGTTCATCTTGGGGCTACAAGTGACACTTTGTCTCAAAATAACAAAAGAAACCATAAATAAATTGTCTATGTGGGCCATATTCCCCTCATCTCACTGTCCTGTCACCCTGTATAGAGAAGCATCACACCGAAAACCTGAGCTGAGTCATAGAGAAAGAGGTCTGTGCCACCTGGAAAGAAGTTGAAAGTGTCTTCTCAGGAAGGGTTGGCTCCTGTGAGCAATGGCACCTTGGTGGACAAAAGAGAACAATTCTATAGTAAACTAAGGTAGCTTCTGCAGGCTTTATTAGTGAATTATATGTATAACTTTTATTAAGTAGTCATGTATTTTCATAAAATCCATGTTTTCTATTAGACTGTGTTTCTGTAGGTTAGAGACAATCTCTGCTACTCCCCAACTGTATCCCAGTAGCCTTCTTGGAGCATGGAAGGAAGCAAATACATATTTGTAGTAACAAAATGAAGGGATGGAAGAAAGAAGAGCAAAATAGAGACCTGAGATCAGTGACTTGATTGTATTCAAATAGACTGGCCATGGTATCTGAGCTATATTTTTCCTCTAACATGCACTTTGCAGACCAGAATTTAATCATCATAGATAAATCAGTCATAACATCAGCTCCACACATGGGATAAAAATCACGGACATGAAAACAATGGAACAGTGTGAATAATGTGTGTTTGGCTAGCAACTAAATTCTGACTTAAATTTGGTCTAGATGGACTCCTTACAGAAAGATACAAAGAAAGACACTAGCTAACCTTATGCATCTACTTATATAAATACATTTTGTGACTCCAACATTCATACTATTCTTTTTAAGATCCAGAAAGTTTGTCTTTTATTCCATTGTAAACATTCGCCTCTAGGTAGCATTAAAAAGCAGGAAGGGGAGCTTGCTCAAGAATTTCTGACCCAGATTCAAAGCAATCCATCTTTCTATGTGCCCACAGAACATCACCACCACACTATCACATGTTCTTAGGTGGCCTCAGATCTGTTGGTTTTAGTGCTAATTCTAATTCAACAACAGCTTCAGAGAAAATAAAAATAAAGGGCATTAAAGCAAGTAGATCTTACATACAACATATACTGAGGCAAAACAAAGTTAAATTCTAGAACAAACATTACTTGCCTGCCTGCCTGCCTGATTGATGAACCATGTAAATTAAGTTTATTAGATTTAAGCACTCAGCCCTCTAAATAGATATTAGAAAACCCAAATACTTCCACAAATTTGTATTATATATACTCCAATAACTATAGTGTCTTAAGCACATACTCACAGTTTCTAAGCTCCTTACTTATTACATATTTTGCCTGATGTCTTAAGTGGTCATTCTCCTCCCCCGCCCCCAAGAGAAAACAATCAGAAAAGATTCATATACAATAAAGCATCACTGAACTATCTTTATCCTTTCAAAGTGCACATGAAATTAATAAATTACATATAAAATCACAGTGTATATGATAAAGGGCAAAAACATAAGCTTTAGAAAAACTTACAGAGTATACTTACGGAAAGAATCATGAGCAATAAATCTTCACGTTATTGGGAGATTAGGAACTATAACACGAGAAAATATGATCTCTCTTCAAAGGTTGGACGCTAACTGCACCAGATCATCCCCAGTGCATATTCTCTTAGGGCAGGACAAAGCAATGGTTCAGCCCATCCCTGACTCCTACCCGAGAAAAATCACCCACTCCTCCTTCCTATGCCCTCAAAGGTGGAATGCCAAGCACTCAATGACAGCATTAAGTCTCCAGCACTCAATTAAACTAAAATCAAATACAGCAACAGAAAACTGAGTTTTCATTCAGTGAAAAGAATGTCGCACAAAGAAAAACTCCTGCTTTTGCACCCTCAGTATTCCTGTCAACACCCCCACCAGGAGCTACCTGCCCTGTAAGTCACCTTGGGAGGTGACAGCTATTCAACAACAAGAAACACAGGCCAAAACTAAATTCTTTGTGTAATTAGATTAAAAGGAATAAAGTCCTGATGTAAAATAACACCCCAGTGTGCTAGCATGAAATTTCCAAAAGGTATTTAATATTAGACAATTTAAAGCATTGAAAAAGATTATTATCAACTCTGGTAAGTCATATTGATACTTAAAGTCATCTATGCCATCAAAATGATCAACAATAAGATAACCAGTAAAACCCAGTATGTATTTCTCTCAATTCATTAAAAGCATATTTTCACATTATGTATAGACTCTGTGAACTGGAAAACAAAACAACAGAAACATCTTCAGTATTGCTTTTCTCCACTACAGAAGAAATGTAAATCAAAGTTTCTTTGGTTTTTCTGCCTCAAACTCACATTAAATCATAAAGTATGATTTACTATATAGTTTTAAAGAATAATATAAAGTTTTGACTAAAAAAATTCATGAAAAACCCAAGAAAAGTATCTGTCCTGTGACTTAACGTAAGAAGTCTTTCTCTCAAATGAGAACTGCAGTTATTTTAAGTTTTAAAAGTCAGCTCTCCAGCAGGACAGGAAGCCTGAGCATCATTTGCCTTTTTCTCCTTTGCTGTGTGTGTTTTTCTGTACCCAGCAGGGGGGCGATGTCAGTGATGACTGTACACAGCTTATCTGCACTCTCTAAGCCATTGAACTAAATAGTGCCATACCCGGACTCTTGTGATACACTAATTACTGCCACTGGTAGCATGTCAGCAGCTAGCCTTTCTGGCTGTCCAAGTCCTGGATGTGTCATTATCCTGACTGTCCCAGTGTCCAACTCAGAGATCATTACTTTTTATGCTGTAAATAATTTTTACTGTAAGGAATAAGCACATGAATGCCACACCTAGCTATTCCTGTGCTTTTCAGTCACAGAATTGTATCTGAGGACATGATGACATAAATCCTTCACAAAGCCACAGTTATATCATCAGTATAACCACAGATCATGCCCAGCTAAAGAAAAGCCTATCTGAGGTATGGACCAAAGAGACTTTAATGATTTCTGCAAACAGCAAGGGAAGCAGTGTGAGTCTTCAAAGGACATGTCTCTCATTTTCCCTAAGTAAGGAAATCTTACAGTAAGGCTTCAATAAAGCATCAAAATGAAACTACTAAGATGAAACAGTATCTAAGGAAAGATAAACAATAAGTGGTGTCTTAGTTAGGGTCTATTTGTTTGACAAAACACCATGACCAAAAAGCATTGGGGAGGAAAGGGTTTATTTGGCTTACCCTTCCATAGTGTGGTTCATTATTGAAAGAAGTCAGGACTGGAACTCAAAACAGGGAAGGATCCAGGAAGAAGGAGTTTATGCAGAGACTATGGAGGGGTTCTTCTTACTGGCTTGCTTCCCATGGCTTGCTCAGCTAGCTTTCTTATAGAATCCAGGACCACCAGCTAAGGGATGACACCACCCATATTGAGCTCTCCTTCATCAATAACTAATTAAGAAAATATCTTACAACTGGATTTTACAGAGGTACTTTCTCAATTAAGGTTCTGTCCATGCAGATAACTCCAGTTTGTGTGTCAGTTGACGTAAGACTAGCCAGCAGAACAGGTGATAGTGTATCCTAGTAACAGCTCAAAACCTTTACTCTTCCAAATACTGTAATTGAGCATTTCATTTGATACATTTTAAAACAATAGAAAACAAAAGCAATGTAAATATACCCATTTAACAGATGAGGGAAGAAAAATCCCAGTCATGATGACTACTGTTGTAGTTTGCTGTGTGTTGTTGCAGTGATAAGCAAAAAAAAGCCCTCTGGTCAAAATCGCCTTACAGACATAAAAGGATTTGTTTGGCTTATATTTCCAAATCACAATTAATCATTAAGGGAAGTCAGGGCAGCAACTCCATGTTGGAACCTAGAAGCAGAAACCAAAGATGAAAGCTGCTTGGTGACCTCCTCCTTCATTCCCTGGCTCATGCTGAAATAGCTTTCTCATACAGTAGAGGCCCACCTGCCTAGTGATGGTACCATC